TCCACCATAATTAACTGCAGGATCTTCCAACCTATAAAAATTTAAACAGAGAAAAAAATGAAGGCAGTTTTATTGACACATAATCCCATATCATACAATTCAATAGTTCAGTCACGTCAAGAAGAGTTATACTGTCATTACCATAATCAATTTTAGAACAGTTTTTTCTTATAGTAATTGTTGATGCATTCTTTTTAAAAATATATATAATTTGTAGTTTTGTGGATGTGAAAAACAAAACAAAACTTTGGATTGGTGCTTAGCAGTTGAGATCAGCTGTCTGAAATGAAGCAATTTCTTTCCAAATGCCTGGGAACTAAAGGAGCAGATGTTTCTGCCCCTGGATGTCAGTCTAGGTTAAGTGTGGAGCCCATTCTGACTCATAACCAACCCTTATACAGTAGAGCAAAACACTGCCAGTCCTGTGCCATCTTACAGTTGTTTTAGTTTGAGCCCATTGTGGCCAGCTACGGAATTACTGTATAGACTCGAGTATAAGCCAACCAGAATATTGGCAGAGGCACCTCCTTTTACCACAAAAATTGCAGAAAAATGTGCTGGAAAACTCAACTTACACATGAGTATATGTGGGAGTTCAGTACACAGCTTTTAGATCATTTTAGGATACCTAAAATATTTGGCATCTGAGAAGTTTTATGCCTTGACCAGATTTTTTTATAATTTCTCCTAGCAGTAATAATCATGATAGCTAATACGGCTTAAGCCCCTTGACTGTTTTTTGCTGTATATTTCTGGACTTGATTCACACACACAAGATAAGTGGATTTTACTTCACATTCAAGGAAACAAACCTTTCAAAAGATTAATGTGCCTAAAGTCACACAGCCCAGGCTTATGGGTTTTTGCCCCTTAAATAGATCCTGGACTTCTCCTGCCTTGGAGACTTAGGTGTACGTTCTCTGGAAAAGGTTAGAATGGAAGAAGGATTGAAAGAGCCTGTGGCTGAGCACAGCATTATCCTTCCTCCTCATCAAATACAATGAGGCAACTCGGGATTTCAGCCACGGAGCGCTGGCTTGCTGTTGGCACCGACTCAATGGCAATGAGTTTGTTTGAGAGCATGCTTCTTCACCACAGGGCATCTCTGAGCCTCTCTCTCTAAACACACACACACTCTCTCTCTCTCTCTCTCACACTGAGCCTCCCTACACACGCGCGCACACACCGCCCCCTCTCTCTACACACACACTCTGAGTCTGAGTCTCTACACACACACACACACACACACACACTGAGCCCCCCTCTCTCTACACACACACACACACACACACTGAGCCCCCCCTCTCTACACACACACACAAACACACACACTGAGTCTCTCTCTCTCTACACACACACACACACACACACACCCGTGTTGTCACCCGTCTCTCCCTGCAGACCAGCTGTACTTCTCAAGTTCATTTGATTCGCATCTTTGTTTCAGTCTTTGTGTCTTCAGACTGAGCTCATTTGTCGCACCACAGGTTCTGTGACTGCTTCTAGATCCACTTTCAAGGGCTCAGTTAAGGAGCCCCAGTAGCACCTTGTTTCGGTGCTTGGTTGTTAACTGGACGGTCGGAGGTTAGAATCCACTCGCCACTCTTGAGAAAGCTGCTGCACTTGGCTCCCGTCAAGATCCTGAGCCTCGGGATGCCATTGGAACATTGTCTTCTGCCTGTTGGGTTGCTGTGAGTCGGAATCAGCTGGACAGCACAGGGTTGGGGGAGGTTGTTGGAAATGGAGGCACAATGAGGGAATGTACATTGACACACACTCCTCTTTCATTTATTCATTCTTCTGGAAATTTCTTAAAAGTTCTGAAACCTCAGTCACAGAGCAGAGCACTGTTGTGTAGGAAGTGTGAGATTGCTTTAGGGATTCCTTTTTAAACCTACTGTTAGGAGTCGGCACCAACTCCTTGGCAGTGAGCTTCATTTTGTTTGTTTATTATTTATACACCAGTTGTACTTAGAACCATCTCAGATCAGAGTAGTGTCAGACAAAGGGTAAGGAAGTGCTTAGCGATCTCCTAGCCTCACTCATAGAATTTGGCCAGATGAGCAAGCCCAGCTGTTTGCTTAGCTGCCAAAGAAACAGTAGTCCAAGACTTGAGAAACGGCTCGCAGCATGATATGGCCCGCATGTGTCGGCCTTGCTACAATGCTTGTTATTACCTTGGGTGACTCTTTACTTGTCAGGGCTTTCCGCTAAAAACAAAGGGGTTAGACTGGGATAATACTGCGTGACTTCAAGAGTCATACTTTCATTTATCTGATAGGAGCTGATAGGAAGGACCCTGGACCGTGTTAGACTTGCTCGTTTCCCGTGGTTTATGCAGCGGAGCCGGAGGTACTTGCCAGAGGGTAGCAGTGAAAACTGATCTCTTGAGACTCGCAGTGAGAGGCTCCTCTTAGGCACAGTGAACTTTGTCCGAGGGCCGTTGTTTGACTCCCTCGATTTTATTTGAAATGCCCACAGCCCTCTCTGGTTGGAACTTTGTTATTTCCTGATTTTATATAATTTTTCTTTTTTAAAAAAACCAACATTTTATTGGGGCCTCAAAACAACTCTTATCACAATCCATACATCCATTCATTATGTCAAGCACATTTGTGCATTTGTTGACATCATCATTTTCAAAACATTTTCTTTCGTCCCTAGCCCTTTGGTATCAGCTTCTCATTGACTGAGATGAGTCAGTCAGGGTGCAGTAGAGATAACTTTCCTTTAGTTCTTCAATGCTCCCCACTGTCAGGACCCCAATTCTACCTTACAAACCTGGCTAGACCAGAGCATGTACATGGGTATTGATAAGAGCTGGAAACAGGGAATCCAGGACAGACAAATCTCTCAGGACCGATATTGAGAGTAGCCATACCAGGAGGGGAAGGAGAAGGCTGGAGGGAGGAAGGGGGAACCAATTACAATGATCAACCTATAGCCCCCTCCCAGGGGCATGGACAACAGAAAAGCGGGTGAAGGGAGATATCGGTGGGTATAAGACATGAAAAAATAAGAATAATTTATAAATGATCAAGGGTTCAAGAGGGAAGAAAGGGAAAATGAGAAGCTGGTTTTATTTCATTTTTAAACAGTTTTATTGGAACATAATCCACATGCCATACAATTCAGTAGTTCATTCATCTCAAGAAGAGTTGTACAATGATTACCATAATCAATTTAATCAATTCTTGTACTCCTTATTAGCTCCCCATTTCTCACCCCCACAACTTCCCCTGCCAGACGAGAAACCGTTCATCCAGTGGCTGTCTCTCTAGAGTCACTCCTCCTGGGTTTCCTGTACCAAAACACACACCCAGACAAGAAACACTAGCCACCGTTTCAAAGTGAAAGAGAGCAAAGCCTTAATCAAAAAGAAAGCAGAAGATGTTAAGCACTTTTCTGGTGGGTGCAGCAGAGCCCGGGCCCATGTGAAGCCCTTGGCATGAACAGCCCTGGAAAGCGGGCTGAGAAGAGCGGGTGGTTGCTGGCAGTTGGCGTTCTCCTCACCGAGCCCCAGCACACTGGGGCCCGTGTAACCCAGAGCTTCAGGGAGTCACAGCCAGGGGAATCTCGGCATGTGGGCTGATAACTTCCTGCTGCCCGCGTGCTGGTTATGGAGTGGAGTGGATGAGATGGGTGACCTGGGTTAGGTGACCCACCACTGTGAATGGTTCGATCTCAGATAATTCACCTCAGGACGGGTTCTCAGTGGATGGTTTTGTGTTCTACAAAAGCAGGCCAATGGTAGTAATTACTGAAAATTAAATAAATAAACAACATTCAGACTCACAGCTAGAGTTGAATCGTGAACCTATAGGACCAAGTACAGCTCCCACTGTGGGTTTCCAAGACAGTAACTCTTTACGGGCCCAGAAAGCCCTCTTTCTCTTGTAGGCTGATGGGTTTGAACTGCTGACTTTGCTTGAGGTTAGAAGCTCGTAACCCATTATGTCCCCAGGGCTTCCTGTAAGAGGCCATTGTAAGGAAACATGTGATAGCAGCTACAAAGTGTTTCCCACAGTGTTGAGCACAAGCAGACAATCCACAGATGCGGGTTGTGGCCATAGTGGTTGTGTTATTGTTTTATGCATATCCTCCGTATGACAGGCAGATAGTAAGAGGTTAAAATTCCCCAAGAAAATCCACTAAAAAGCCCATGGATCATAATCTTCAGTCCTGAGTACCCGGAAGTTGGTAAACACCGAATTAAAGGGAGGAACAAAAGTAATGTGTCTTTGCAGTTACTTGAGCATTCAGATGCTTTTGCCTCTCAGAGAATACTATCCAATTGAAGGGTAAACGGGGAATAAATATAAAATTCTAAAGTACTGATATTTTTTTGCAGCATTTTCTTCATTATGTTTTAATGTCAAATCTCAACAGCCTCAGGTGATCAGTTGTTACGGTCTGCCTGAGACTGACTAAGGGTTTGATGGGATATGGGACTGGTAGTCCTAAAACTGGGCAAAGCAAGATGAGGTGACTCCCTTGCTGTACGCTGAGGTCATCTCAATGCAGGTTACTGTGAGAATTAAGGGACTTTTATTTGTTCGTGCATGCCATACCTGCTTGGTACATAGGAACCACTCCAGACGTGTTTTTGTGAGAATTGAATCTAAATCTTGGTCACACCCTACGGCATTGGTCTCCTGCGTCTCAATTTCCTGTTCTGTGCAATGGGAATACGACTATCACATAGGACTACTGTAAGGATTCAATAGTGCACGTACTGTTAGCACATTGAAACACATTCAGCATGGTGCCCAGTCCACAGTGGGCTCCTAGTCTGTGGTGGTCACTATTGTAATAATACAGTACTTTAACGTGTACAGAGGTGCTACTTAAAATCAGTAGTGTTGATAAGAGGAATTCTGAAATTGGAATGGGAACTGTTGATTAAGCTTTTAGCTTCTTACACATCTTGCTCCCGAATCCTTGAGGAAGGGTATTACATACCTGTATAAAAGGATATCGTTTTGAAAATTTTGTTGCAGGTAGTGAGGAGTACCTGATTAACCTGATAGACTCTCCAGGACACGTGGATTTCTCCTCGGAAGTATCCACAGCCGTTCGCATTTGTGATGGGTGCATCATTGTGGTAGATGCCGTGGAAGGAGTCTGTCCACAGGTAATGGGATTGTAATGTGAAAAGCCTTAAGTGGTTGCAGAAGGTAGGAACTCTCTTACACTGTACCACTCCAGTTGTTTCGCTGACAATCAGACAGTTGGTTTTATATTTCACCTTGGAGGATAGTCTGTGATGTCCTGAGAGGCAGACTCACCAAGAATGGGAGTAGCGTTGAGTTTTGGGAAGATCTAGATGTTTCACTCTAATAGAAAAGGCTTCTGAAGATTGCAAGAGACTGTTGATAGAAAGATGCTGAACTGACTTTCTCCTGGATAGGAGAAATTCTTCCCTGTGACTTCTTAGTCTAGACTTCTCGCCCCTGCATGTGTACACACACACACTGGCACACGCCCGCTCCTTCCCCTTCCTTCTCTTGATCTGCCGTATCCTGTGCTCAGTGTCTTCAGTGTTCCTCCAAAGTTGGAAAGGATCACCCCTCTGGCCAGAAGGAATATGCAGCTCTGACCGGGGTGGAGCTCAAAATAGCTCTTTAAGATTATTTATTTTAATAAGCTTTTGAAGTCTTATATTTCACCTTAAAAAGAATGTCACCTTTAACAATCTGCTTCCTAATATGACCGTGTTTTTTTAACGTTTAAGAAATAATCACGAACGCTTACTCAAATGGCGGGTTCTTGGTGGTTACAGGATGTGCCATGATCCCCTGTGACCACCCTATGATCTCCCTTACGGGCACAGATAGTGCGGAAAGCAGAGCACTGGTCTAGATAGGCAACTGTGCTTTGTCACATGTGCTTTGCTGTGCTTCACAGATGCTGCACTTTGTACAAAGGGCGGGTTTGTGACAACCCTCCGTTGGACAAGTCTGCCGACACCATTTCTGACAGCATATGCTCTCTTGTGTCAAAGTCACATTTGGGTTACTCTCACAATATTCCAAACGTTCTTATAATGCTACTGCACCCAGTAGATGACAGTGTAGTATAAGCAGAACTTTAATATGGGAAGCCAAAAAAATTTTTTTTAATTGTTTCATTAGGGGCTCATACAACTCTTATCACAATCCATACATACATCAATTGTGTGAAGCCCATTTGTACATTCATTGCCCTCATCATTCTCAAAACATTTGCTCTCCACTTAAGCCCCTGGCATCAGCTCCTCATTTTTCCCCTCCCTCCCTGCTTGCCACTTCCTCATGAACCCTTGATAATTCATAAATTATTATTTTGTCATATCTTACACTGTTCGACGTCTCCCTTCACCCACTTTTCTGTTGTCCGTCCCCCAGGGAGGAAGTTATATGTAGATCCTTGTAATCGGTTCCCCCCCTTGCAACCCACCCTCCCGCCACCCTCCCCGTATCGCCACTCTCATCACTGGTCCTGAAGGGATCATCCGCCCTGAATTCCCTGTGTTTCCAGTTCCAAAGCAAAAAAATTTGTATGACACACTTTCTTGCTTTATTGTAGCGATCTGAAACTGCTGGCTCCAAGTTCATCTAGTCTTTTAGGTGTCTTGACAAGCTAAGTGAAATTAACACTCTTTAGAATAGCGCTTAACTCTGACAGTGGTTCTCAACCTTCCTAATGCCGCGACCCTTTCATACAATTCTTCATGTTGTGGTGACCCTGCATGTGGGCATATCTGCATGTGGGCTCACCCGCCTGGAGACAGATAAGAGGAGTGGTGTCTCGGTTCCTAAGGCCATCGGAAATATGGTCTTAGGAGACCTCTGTGACAGGGTCGTTCGACCCCCCAAAGGGGTTGCAACCCCCAGGTTGAGAACCGGTGCTCTAAGAGATGAGTTTTTGATTAGGGAGTTGTACACTGGGGGACTCTGGGAGAATGTCTTATTTTTGGCCCGTGTCCTGGTAGCATGTTTGTTTTATGAATATGCAAATTCTGCACATATGAGGGGACTTTAAAAAGTTCATGGATAAATAGAATTCAAAGTAATAGAGTTTTTCCACTAACTTTTTGAAGCTCATATATATGTATATATGTGTGTGTATATACATTTCTCATCATTTTGTATGTATGTAATACTTCATGGAAAAGAGGAGAGAAAACAATGACAACAAAATGTTGATAGAAACAACAACCAAAAAGAGTGGAATATGATTACACTCAACTCTTTTCTTTATGTGTTGGGTGAATTAGAATAGGATATAATTACCATGTTTCTTACCTACATTATGTATTCCATCTTTGACTTGTCATTTGCAGTTGTCCTTTGCAGAAGGCAAGGGCCTTTTCTTACCTGTGGTTCGTGGCTGCTGTGTTGAGTCTGTCTGTGCTTTAGTGAATGCTGGCATCTGCCTGGCCTAATGAGAGCGCAGTAGAGGAGGATGGAGATGTGGTGACTGTTAACCAAGGGTTTCTCATGTGCTTCAGCTATTTCATTTTAGGAAATTGACATTTTTGTTTCTGTTTCCTTCAGACACAGGCAGTTCTACGGCAAGCCTGGCTTGAAAACATCCGTCCAGTTTTAGTGATTAATAAGCTTGACCGCTTGATAGTGGAGCTGAAATTTACCCCACAGGAGGCCTATTCTCACCTCAAGAATATTTTAGAACAGGTATCTTATCCTTTACTCCAGTGTTTTAAAAATTGGGCTCAACAAATTACAAGGGGGTTTCTGAGTTGTATATGAGGCATTGCTTCAGAATATTCCCCTATATATTTATATGTGTTTGAGTCATATAAGAATCATACAGCATTCATATATGTTGGAGTCATCTTTTTACAACAGAAATGACAGGACAGACATGCTCCTCGGAGCCCCTTTTAGTTCCTGGGAGCACTTTTCAGTTTAAAGCTTGGACATTGGGTTTTAGCACACTCTTGTTTGATGCTTAGTAGTTTGGAGATTATCTGGTATTTTATTTCCCGTCTTTAGGTGGAGTTATACTCAAGCAGTCATTCGTTTATTTATTCAGCAAGCACATGAGTATATAGTATATAAGCTGAATAAATACATTCTTTAGAGTTCATTGCGCACTGGGGATTGTGAATATAGACATGGACAAGCTCAAGTCCCCCTTTTCAAAGCGCTCACAGTGTGCTTAGGGAGATCAGTAGTTAGGAGACAGACAGTAATGAGATAAGCACTGGGCATGATTGGAAAGCACAGATGAAGACCACCTAGCCCACATGGGTGAAGAGGAAAAGTCCCATCGTGGAAACTGTGGAAAGGTAGTCCTTTGCAAAACAGAATTAGAGAAGGCTGTGAAAAAGAAAGAATAGGCCAGACTCCCAAAGGCAAGAAGAAGCATGGTGTGCCGTCGCCTTCAAGAACCGCTAGTTGGATATAGCTGGGGAATTCGGTCCTGTTACGCTGGGGCAGGAGGTAGAGTCAGAAAGATGGTGGGGTCTACTTTGGGTTAGCTTTGTATACCACGAGTAGGAGTTTGAACTGTTTCTTGTCAAGACTCTGGAAAACCATTGACGAGATGGATACTTCTTTGCTAAAGGGAGGAAATGATCCAGATAGAGCAGTGGAGAATAGTGCTGGAAAGTGATTCCTGGTAGGGACAGGCAGAGACCAGCAAAGACGAAAGATCCTTCCTTCCCTGTGAGGTGGGAGGAGAAGGATCAGCAGTATTCGCAGGTTTGAACAGGCTTGTAGATTGGAATAAGGCGCTCCGATGGCCCAGTAACTAACCCTTGACTGTTAACTGAAAGGTTGGTCATTTAAAGCCAGCAGTTCTATGGGAGAAAGAGGTGCCTGCTCCTGTAAATGACAGCTTTGGAAACCCAAAGGGGCAGTTCTCCTTTGTTGTACGGGTTCCATGTGGATTGTTAGAGGTTGGGGGTTAGAGGCCGAAAAGGCGGCCTGAAGAATGTTGACAGTTTCAAACAGCCGATGTGAGAAATGAAAGAGGGAGGTGACTAAAGTTACAAACCAGAATAAGGAGGGTTAGAAAATAGGATTCCTAATGACACCATGGTCTCGTACTGAAATACAAGGTAAGGATTTGACATATTACTAATAATAATAATTACAAAGTGACCTTTCACAGCCCATAATTTAGTTTTACTGGATTTAGGAAGAATGAGTTGATAGCATGTAGCTAAAAGTTAATCATTGACTGTAAATGTTAACTCCATCCATGTGCACTTAATAATGAGCGCAAATTGTCGTTGATGATTAAAAGGCTAGTCCATGTGTCTCCTACCATGTTTGTGCTAAGCATCTGAATGACATTCTGCCATTTCTTCATCTCTCCTAGATTAATGCACTCACAGGAACACTTTTTACTTCTAAAGTCCTAGAAGAAAGAGCAGAGAGAGAGACTGAGGCCAAAATGAATCCCAGTTCTGAACAAGGAGAGCAGGTGTATGATTGGAGCACTGGCTTGGAGGACACAGACGATTCGCACCTGTACTTCTCTCCAGATCAGGGGAATGTGGTGTTTACAAGTGCAATAGATGGGTGGGGCTTCGGGTAAGTCTTGTTGAGTCTAATTAAATCTCTCTGGGGTTTACAGAAATGGACATTTTATGTTAAGCTTTAAGATTTGAAATATTGATTGATTGACATGCAGTGATAATAATCCAGGGAAAGACACTGAATCCTTTATACACTTCCCCACAATGATACTGCCTTGTAAAACTGTAGTCCAATGACTACGCCCATGATACTGTAGAGGTACAACATATTTCCGTTGCCACAAGTTGGTGGTCTTTTGTAGTTACCCTTGTTCTTCTCTACCCCATCCCCACCCATTTAATAGCTGGCAGCCACCCATCTGGCCGCCATCATTCTGTCATTTCAAGAATAGTCTATAAATGGAGTCATACGGTGTGTAACCCTTTGGGATTGGCTTATACCACTTTGCCTAATTCTCCAGAGATTTGTGTAAATTGTTGCATTTGTCAGTAGTTTGTTCCTTTTGATTATTGTGTATTATTTCATGTTGTGAATGACCACCATTCACTTATTGATTCCAATTCTTGGCTATTATAAGTAAATGAGCAGGGTTGGGGTGTGTGTGTGCATTTCTCTGAGAGAAATGTCCAGGAGTGCACCTGGCGCTGTGTGGTGGTTGGTTGCTTAGAAAGACCCCGCCACACTGTTTTCCAGGATTGCCGCATTCCTTCGCGTTCCCACCACCAGTGCAACGGTGGGCCAGTTTCTCAGCATCCTTACTGTTGTCACTGTTTTTTATTTAGGTATATAGCCATATCTCGTTACGCTTTTAATTGACATTTCCTTAGTGTGTTTTTGCCATGTGCTAATTTGCTGTCGTGCACACGGGTGGCATGTCTGTCCAGGTTTTGTTCACTTCCTGTCTGATTATTTGTCCCTGTTGAATGTTGAGGTGCACGCACGCACACACCAGTGACTGTCAGTGGGAGCTGTATTTCCTCTCATCCTGTAGCCTTTCTTTTCATCATTGTCATAGTGAGTCTTTGAGTCTAGAACAAAGTTTGTCCGTTGATGTCATCGTTGGGGAGCATTCTGCTAGGGAGCCACCAGGTGGGGAGCTTGTCCTTTTCTTCTAATGACTTCCGGAACTGTGTTCACGTTCTCCACCAATGCTCCTCAAACTCTCACCTTAGAGGATGTTCATTGTGAACAGGAGAAATAGGGAGAGGCTTGAGTGGATAGAATAACTGTGGTTTCCGTATCTCTCATGCTTTTGGACACTTTTAGAAGCTCTCCATTGCAGTGAGCGAGCATGTCCATTTAGAAACCTGCTAGCCCTTTTTCTCAGCACATTGATAGCTGACTGCATGGGAAGATGTGTGCTGGGCCTAAAGCCCAAGTGGGAATGGGAAGGACTTTGCTGTTCGTGTCCCTGATCCCTCAGGGACTGGAACACTGCATCTGTCTGTGTCCTGGAAGCTGGGAACTGAGTACACGTCCGGGTCGGGAAGGTGCTGCTGTCACTCTCCCAGAGCGGGGTGGGAGGACGTGTGACTGTGCATGCTCATGTCGGTCCTGTGGTAGATGTTAGTGCAGGCACATCTCTGCAGAGCGGACACATGTTGACGGGTGAGTGGCAGCCAGATTCAAATTCCTGTTTTAGGTCAGTAGAACTACGGCCCAACCTTCATGTGTAGGCACAAAAAGAGAGAGACAGTGAAAAATGCTTCGTAAGAACTGTGTTTGTCTTTGTGCACCACTAACTGAGACTCTTTGGGTTAACAGACAGGCCCAGCAGTTTCCGACTTGGCTGAGTTGTCCTCGTGGCGGCTAGGCAAAAGATAAGGTAGTCAGTAAAGTCTTAGGAAATGTGCTTTGTGGGTCTTTTCTGAGGCTCATGCTTAAAGTTACCTTCAGATGAAGAGGAAATGGATTAAAACAATTCAGTAATGGAGAAGTTGTGCTCAAAACAGGCAGTGAAAATTATAAGCCACCCATGATAAGCGTGAATAAATCACTAAGCAGTAATGGGCAAACATTGATATCAGTAAGCACATTTTGTGATAATTGGAGGATCTAAAAGAATGAACAGGATAAAAATCAAGGTTGTTGAAAGATTTTGTGCATGTATGAGTATGCGTATATGAATAAGTGGTAGACTAGAAGTGGGCTAAGCAAATGAGCTACATTTTTTAGAATTGGTGGCTTTGATAAAAGTGTTTATGGAAATCTTCAAGTTTAACACTTAGAGAATTAAACACAGGATATTTATCACATATACCATTGCAAGATAAAGAAAATATAACAAAGTCTAAATAGCACAAATCAGCCTTTCAAAAAACCCTAATTGCTTCTGGGCCTTTTGACTAAGTGTAAGTGTAAAACAGTTCTGGAAACATGAGCAGAGAGTGCTCTAGAGACCGACCTCACAGTTTAATAAGGTGATAAATGTATGAAATCTCCTCTTAAGGAGATAGCATATTTTAAAAGAAAGACATTTCATTAAAAAAAAAATCTAGTTATTTGCCTAAAAGAAATGAACATGAAGCCCATTGGAGGGAAGCTACACACCCAAACTTAGGTCAGATGTGTTAAAGTAGATTTGGCAATATGAACTTCAAGGTGGAATTAGTGATGATTGTATTAGGTATAAAGATCAGTTTATATTGATAGCTGACAGATTTCAGCGGTAAAAAGGTAAGCTTTACATACCAATCATCAAAAAAGTACGAGACAAAAGTAGAACTAACCATAAGTAGATATCAAGAGGTGTCAGGCACATAGTTTGTGGAGGAATTTAGCATCTCACTCTCAGAATGTTCATAGGTCAAGTACACAGACACCTACATCATATGAGCGTATTAAGTATATAACAATGGAATTTATTTTAAGTGCCAGCATATAAAAATTGGTCTGCTGGTAGGCAAAATCCCAAAGTTCTATGTGAAAATGTTGGCAGTCTAATGTGCTTATTAGCCACCATCTCTCATTTGAGCCCTCTACTCAGGTTGCTGGCATGGAGACCAGATTCAGTGAGACCCCAAAGGGCGTCATTCCCCAACACAGGCTCCCTGGTCAGGTGTGGGTGGAGAATGTGCTTGGGCTGCAGGCCACTGCCAGTGCTTCCCTCCAAATGTAACCCTAGCACCTGGCTGTGGGTCCTGATTTGGATCTGCAGGTTAGAGGTGGAGGCTCCTTACCCAGCTGTGAGTAGGATCGTAGGCTGCCTGGCAAAATCAGGCCTGGGCAAATGGAAAGGCAGAGAAAGGCAGCAGCCTCCTGACTTGCAGTGGGAAAGAAGACTGCTTTGCTCTTAGTGTGCGTCACCGCAGGAAGCCAGGAAGGAGTCGGCCCCTCTTCCTGCTCTGGGAACCAGACCCAGAACCCCTCTCCCTTGTTGCGGCAAAGGAACTCTCCCAGGTGAATGTGTGCCATTCCCAGCCCCTGTGTTGGAAAAGCCGCAGACGGCTTCAGGTCTGCGGGCTGAAGTGAGGTGTTATGAAGAGAAAGAACAGTTTTCTCCTCTAAACACGACTCAGAACTATATGGTAATGTGTGTTAAATAAAAGCCATCTGAAAATTTGAAAAACAAATTTAAACCTCCAACTTTCTAATGTTGATAAATAACTAAATAATTATTGATTCAAGTGGGAAATCAAGATTACGACAACAGGCCAGTGTAGAAAGTAGTGGACCCTGGAGGCCAGCTGTGGGATGTCTGCGCCTGTAACCTATGTGAGGGAGCTTCAGAGAGCCGGGGAAATGGACTTGAAAGCTACTTCATGGACTGTTTGGAGCCCCTTGTTTCATTTGGGTTTTCATTTCTAATTGGGAATATTTTGTTCCCTTGGCCTTTTGTGAGAGAAGACACTGGGTATTTATCCCGTCATTTCTAGTCTGCTTTTGTTTCTGAGCTATTATCTGATGCACTTTGCATTTCTTGTTCTTAACGTAATGTCCTCATTGGCCTCTGCTCCTCCAGCTTCCTAGTCTCCTCTGGCACCTCCCATCAGGCTGCCAGTATCAGGAGAGACGGCCAGCTGGCTGCCCTGAGTTGCAGTTGACGCTGGGGAAGGCATCTCCTTCCCTGTCCTAGGGTTGCTGAGCCGTTATCTACTCGGTGGCAGTGAGTTTGTGTGCGTTTGTTCTTTCTCATCTGTCAAGTGATTCTGTACTGTGCCTGGGCTTTGCAGCAGAGCATCCCGGTATTAGCTGCTTTCTCTGCAGGCCGATGTGCTTCGAGAAAGTGTGTGTCTTTTCCCCATTGACTCCGGGATGCTAACAATCATTTTTGGTAGGCCCTGACACGGGAGTTTGTTTTGTACCTGGCAGGGAAGGATTCAAACAAAGGTTTAGTGTTGGCATAGCTGTGACAGGCATTTCCTTGGCTTTTGCCCCCCTAGCTTCGTTGTACAAATGCAGGATCAAGGACTGGAGCTGTAGCATGTATTCTGACTTTATGAGTGGAGAGAATACTGCATAACCACATGGAAATTGGAGCCAGGCCGGGTTTGAATCTCTATCTTGTTTCTTCCTTGGCTGTGGATTAGCTCAGTGCTTCATCTTCTTTTTCTGCGAAGTAGAGGAATAAGTGAGTTACACGTTAGGGTGCTAACCACAAGGTCAGCAGTTGGTTCCAAACTACAAGCTGCTCCGTGGGAGAAGGATGAGGCTTTCTACTCTCATAAAGAGTGATAGTCTCAGGAGCTCACCGGGGCAGTTCTACCCTGTCCTGTGGGGTCGCTCTGAGTCAGAATCTACTTGATGGCACTGAGTTAATTTTACCTCGTCGGAGAGTTGAACGCACTGGTGGGTCATGCATGTGGGGTACCTGGCACAGAAACACGCAGGCTCCTGGCGTACCCCCTATAGCATTACTTTGCTGTTATTAACAACTTGATTTTCTTTCAGAATTGAGCACTTTGCCAAAATCTACAGTAAAAAAATTGGCATCAAAAAGGAAGTTCTTTTGAAAACTCTGTGGGGAGATTATTATATAAATATGAAGGCTAAGAAGATCGTGAAGGTGGGTCAGGTAATGGGACAATGTCCCTTTTGATTTTGGTCCTGTGCTTTCCCTGCTCTTTCTGTGACCCCATTAGTAGACGTACCCCTGCTTGAACGGGTGCTGGAGTGTTCGTGAGCAGTTCTTTTTAACTGTACGTATTTGGCGAAGGCTCCTAAGTCTTATGTGTAAGCATTGAGTGAATCGGTTTCTTAGCCCCGTTAAGTCTAAGGAGCAAAGGATGACATTTACTGTCATTTTAAATATTTACTCCTTTTTTTACTAGAAGAGAGAATTTTCAGAACCTGGACATGTGAAGATGCGTAGCTTGGATGGTACATTTTTGTGTCCTCCTCACCATAATGAACCATCTCCTCAGGACATGATTGCATGGGCCACACTATTACTGGTCTCCGCATAGGCCTTATCTCACTGCCTACAGTGACCCTGCGGTGTGGGTGGGTGGGAGAGGCAGGGGCGCCCCCATCCCTCTGCAGACAGGGTCATAGAACCTCAGTGAGCTTGGGTTACCAAACGCATTTGACCTACCACCCCATTTTCAGGGGAAAAAATTACTCAGTGCCCCTCTGGTAATGAAACATTTCTGTTCTATAATCCAGAATAAAGTGTACATGTCTGTTTTTTCAGACTCCTGGATTGTTCCTGTATCCTCCCCCACCTCCCGCCCCCCTGGGGGTTATATTGCCCACTTTGGGAAACACTGCTTTAAACTTTTGGTTTTTAATGTAAAATTCATGACTTTATGAATTTACTTTCATTTTGTGAGGCATGCTCTTTTAAGTTAGTTACCTATATTCCAAAGTCGGAGGAAAGAAAATAATAATAAGAAGCCAACTCGGCTACTGTTTAGTTTTAATTTTATTATTCTTTTCACGTAACTATATACGTCCTTTAGTTAACATCATCTTCCCTTGTCCTTAAAAGCTTTTTATAAATAGCGTCTTTAAAAAGGAGCCAAAAAAACAAAACAAGACTTAACTGGCTATTGAGTCAGTTCTGACTCAGAGGAGCCCGTGTTATAAAGTTGGTGGCCAAGGAGTGAGAGCCTTGCTCTCTATCTGAATCTTGGCGTGAATATAGACCAACTGCGTTTTGTCTCAGTTTTCTCTTCAAGAAAAAGGACTGTGTTGTAGATGGCTGTGATAGCCATGCGATTGATCAATGTAGTCTTCAGAACAGATCCTGTCACATAATAAAGCTCCTGTGATCTCTTTGTGATGATATCATTTATGTGTCTTTGGCTTAAGAGTCAACATAGTTGGCCACCCCCACCCCCCAAATGTACTGTATTGTCAGCAAAGCGGTTACAACATACCTCTTTGTGTATAAGCTTTTATCCATCGTCGCGGTGTCTTTCGTTTTTAACCAGACATCAAAGGTAGTGGCTTTTCATCTACTGACACCCATTGCTTCAGCATGCTCACACATTGAGATACTAACCTTAAGGTCAGCAGTTTGAAACCACCAACTCCTCCTCTGGAGAAAGAGGAGGCTCTCTAGTCAGTCTCAGAAACGCACAGGGGTGGTTCTCCCCTGTCCTATGGGGTCGCTGTGAGTTGGACTTGACTCAATGGCAGTGAGTTGGGTTTTGGTTGATGCCTATTGCCAGTAGCCCTACAGAAAGGAAGTAGCCACTTATATTCCTCTCAGTATCCATCCTGTATAGTGTGTTCAAAGAAATTGATAAGCTTTTTAATTTTCCTTTGAATTCACCTTTTCTTCAAAATAAACATTTTTTCCATATGTTTAAGGGCATATGCATTTCCTCTTACTATAGGATGAGCTCCCCAGGACGTTTTAGCCACCTCTGTTTTACAGTTCAGCAGGGTGTTCTTGATGTGCTGCTGCCAAGTCATGACTTCCAAATGGTCTCATTGTTTGCAGGGCCCTGACTATCAGAAGATGGGACAGTGGATCATTATCGGTTATGGGTCCTTGACTGTTGAGTGTATTGCTAAAACTTTTCTCCGATTTACTACTGAATAAGTATTTCCAAGTAAAAATTAAGCATCAATAATAAGAGCTATCCAGAATGAATATCTAAAATACCTTTTAAATGTTCTTTTGTACAGGCCAAAGGAAAGAAACCTTTATTTGTACAGTTGATCCTGGAAAATATATGGAGCTTGTATGATGCCGTCTTGAAAAAGTAAGACGGTTATAAAGTCGTTTGTGTTTGGGTCTCTGTGTGATGTGATTTACATTACTTTCCATTCTGATGAAGCACACGTCAGGGAGCTGAGGCCGTCTGAGAACATGAGCAGAGCCTTTGTGAGATGAGATGCTTACAGGGTTTGGAAGCAAAAGTAAAGGGATATGTTTAACCCAAGTGAAAGGTAAGAGGAGGGACAGAGCAGCAATATTTTATAGCATGCTGAGGAAAAGAGAGGAGAGAATGGAAAGAAATGTTAGCCTTTGTTTTTAAAAAAAATGCACTTTAAAAAGAGAAAAAGGCAACCGTCTCAGAAGAGGTACTTGCTATCTAGAACCCTAGAGGGGGAACTGGAGGAATAACTTGCCAAGGGTAAGTGGAAATGAAAGCTTGCCTTTACTTTTAAATTTACTTTGTGAATTCTGAGTTATTCTAGAAAGAAGAGAATGACTTTTTGGCATCTCTTTGTAAAACTGCTTAAACAGTTGGCAGTGTTTGGTCAGAGAAGTGTAGAATGGTGCTTCATGGGAAGTTTTAAAGGAAAAGTTCACTTGAAAGTATATTGGAAGAGGAATATGAGAGTCTAAGTTGAATGCCTTCTACTTAGGCAGGAGCTCTTTCCAGTTTTTTAATTTTTTAATAGGAAAGTAATATAAAACTAGACGAGTCAAATAATATGTAGTTACTGTCCTCATAACTCTTTGTGATGTTTGTTTTTTAATCTTACGTGTTTACTTACAGAGACAAAGAAAAAATTGATAAAATAGTGACTTCTTTAGGATTAAAAATTGGAGCCCGAGAGGCACGTCATTCAGATCCTAAAGTTCAGATCAATGCCATTTGCAGTCAGTGGCTCCCCATATCTCAGGCTGTTCTTGGTATCCTTTCTTTTCATGGTTTTTAGTGAAATCATTTTAATAAAGCACAGGGGGAAATGTAGGTTTGGCACCAGGACATCCTCTGGAAGTAATGCATACCTATCCAAAGTCAGTCTTTGGTGCTGATTTAATGTTCTGTCCTGAAATTGTAGTTAGTACTTTAAAAATTAACATGCTAATACCAGTCAGTGTTCATATTAATGCTATGGAATGGTTTTTAAAAGATAATTCTATTTTACTTTTGTGTAGTAATTATGTAACAAAACTTTTGGAAAATGTGTAAGTAGATAATGTAGATATATTTGTGTTGGATCACAATTTCATTTTAGTACCTTGTTTCTTTAATATATCCTGTTGTGTTGGTGATCCTCAAATGGATTGATTTGAAGCGCTTTATCTTGACTAAAGTGATATTGTAGATGTGGATTCTAAATCTCCTTATTGAATTGTGTGTGTGCAGCAGTGCCCACACCACACATTTGGGTTGGAGGTGCAATGTCTGGGGAGAGTGATATAGCGGGGCCCTCAGCCCAAAGCGGTAGTAGACACAGGCACCCTGGGGATCCTGGCTATGATTATGGACCTGTTGGTGTCGTAGCGAGTGGCTGGGTGGTTCCTGTCGTTTTATAGACTAAAGCCACATGAGCCATCTTTTGAACGTCAGGGTCAAGGTAGCCAACCTTTATGTGCTATGATCCTCACTTACTCTGCGCATTGTTGGACTATTGATCTTGAGGATCTTTTCTGGGCTTTAGAAAGTCCATGAACTTCTTGAAATTTTCTGCTATGGCACATAACATAATATTGCTATAGAGCCCAGGCATTTTCTATAAAGACCAATGTTGTTACCTCAGTATTTAGTGCATGTGGTAGATCCTTGCCTCTGTGGAGGACCCGAGCCCAGAGTTTTGAGTCCTTAACAGCAGACTTCAGCTATGGTGTGCCAGAAACTTCCTAGTCCCCTTGACATTACAGCCGAGAGAGTGGAGAAGCTAATGTGCACGGGATCACAAGCGTTTGACTCTCTTCCTCCGGAAACGCAGGCACTGAAAGCAGGTGAGGCAGAGATCCACATGTTTCCTGTCAGCAAGTATCATATTGTTAATTGTCCTAGGTCCAGGATGTGCTTGGCTGATATGTTGAATGCCAATTTGCTAGACGGTTCAGTTTGTTAAATAGCTAGTTTCACAAATGACCATTTTTTCAGAGTTTCGCTTTTACTAACTAATTGTTTACTGCAGCCAGTGGGTGGGAACCAGAAAACCCTACAGCCTCTCCTTTCTCATTTCATAATCATGCCATATTCCATTCTCATAACCAGCCAGGAATTTATTTCATGCCCCGCTCCCTCGTCACCATGGCTAGGGCCGTAGAGACTGTGGAATCTAGTTCCAGGGGGTATACTATTCCCTCGAATCTCTGTACACACACTCCCCCTGAGAGGGGAAGCTTCCATCCCAGGTTCAAAGGCACCAGGTAATCCATGTGTACAAGCATGCTGTCTTCCATTCTTTTCCTCCAGTTCTGTTGCTTTGCCTCCATCCTGGAAACCATTCCCCTGCTGCTGTTACGGTCAGCATCGACTCAGACGGGAATGTGAGGATCGCTCCCAGTCTCCTCTGACGTGGGCTAGCGCTGAACTCATCAGGTCACTCCGTCCTCCTTGAAACACTGTCTCTGCCTCCCATGCCCACTCCCGGGCTCCCGCTCTTCTCTGTGCGCCTTCACTGGTTACTTCTGAGTCTTTTGCTGGTTCCGCTCCATCTTCCTGACGTCTTAACTTTAGGCCATCTCAGCTCTTTTCTGTCTGCAATTCTTCTCGTGGGGATCCTACCTGGACTTAGAATAACAGTTCCATTCTTGTCATTCCCAAATTGGTGTCTCCAACCCAGGTTGACTCCCTGGGCTCCAGACTCGTGTCCAACTTCAGACTCTCACTCTACTTGGCTGTTTGGAGAGCATCTGAGACAACATGTCCCAGACCTACTGCCTGTCCCTGACTCTCAGCAGCATGTGCACCCATTCTTTTGTTGACGCTGTCCTTGACTCCACTCTCTGCAGAGCCCATTCTTCTCTGAAATTCAGCTACTTCTCGTCATCTCTACTTCTGCTTCCCTAGGCCATCCTCTCCTGCCTAGATTGTAACAGCCTTATAACTCACCTCCCTCCCACCAGTGCAGCCAGGCGATCCTTTAAAGTGTAAGTCAGGGCATGTTCCCGCCCCTCAAAGCCTTTCAGAAGTTCCCCTGGCAAGACTTCTGATATGTGTTTCTTACTTCCAGTGGTTTAAAAAAAAAAATCATTTGTTTGAATTTTAATGTTAATCTAGAAATTATGTTAGTATGGGGTTTTTAAAGAAAAAAAAGACGAATACTCTGCCTCCAATACAGTATATGGTAGTAGGGTGGGAAAGGCAATATTGACATGAAATTGTGCTAAAATATATAAATTTAGGGAGAATGAGCATCCTTTGGTATTGAACCTTAATTTATTGCTGAGGGGTTTTGTCACTAGGATGAATACATGATTCGCCTCTTTTTGCGTGAGAATGGAGACCCTGTTGATTGTATATTACTAACACACTCCTTTGGTGACTGTTGGCCCTTGGTAACTTCCCTTGGTTCTCTCTTTGCTAGATGAGGGACGAATTTAATGAGGCATATTGTGGGTGGTTAGTGTGTATATTTAGATAAATGCTATATTCTGTACATCTTAGTTGTTTTCCAGAAAAATTAAGCCTTTTCATATCATGGTGGGGAAAGTGACATTTTTACTTCCTTTTTGTCTAGCTTTTATGAAATGTGGAAGTGAAGACACAGCTCCAGTTATTATCTTTGTTTCCAAAATGTTTGCAGTTGATGCTAAGGCTTTACCTCAGAATAAGCCCAGGTAAGGCTAAAGGGGAAGGTGGACAGGGCCAAGCAAATTGCATGTTGGGGGAGTGTGCACTGGAGACCAGAGATAATGCTTTCCCTTCCCAAGGCAGAGTCCATCCCGAATAACCGCAGGGCAGCAGGTGAGCTGTCCTGTCATAGTCTTGTGTGAGGCTTGTACAGGAGAAAGATGCTGGATTCAGCTCTAGGACTACTGATTTGCACCCATAAAAGTTGGGGACTGATAACTGTACCCAGTAGACTGGTGATGCGTGCAGTGGCAGGGCAGCTTGTCAGGCGTGCTCTAATTGAAGCCGGCACACTCTCATCTAATTCTGCCCACTCCCGTGGAGACTGATGAGTGAGCATTCCCACTGCTCTCTGTGTGGATTGTACCTGTGCAAAAGTGTGTGTGTGTGTGTGTGTGTGTGTTGGCAGCAGTGGTGGATTATATCTCAGGTTTCCAGAGGCTTGGGGAGTCCCTTTCTTCAACACCATTTGTGTCCCCTCTGCCTCCCCCACTGCCAGTTCCAACGCTCTCTGGTGGAAATGGTTGCCACAGCTTCTGAGCGGGCCCCTGGCCTCGGTCATCCTGAGTGGCTTTTCAATTTCAAGGCAGCCAGCCATTTAGCTCACCTGCTTTTTAAAAGTCTAGCCCTTTGCTTTGATTCGTTTTCACTGCTTATCTTTCAGACATTTTCATTGAATTTTTGCCTGGTAATACGTTTTGTTAATTAGCAGTCTACTTGGAGTTTCTAAACGTGGCCTCTGCCCCTGAATTCCTGAGTCTAGTTTTTGCTCTTGCTTCCTCCTCAAGACCCAGCTCTTTCAAGTAACAAGGCGAGTCCTCTAAACGGATGCCATTGTCTTCTTGGCCGCCTGCTTCCCACTATCTTAGCTACCTGGTAGTGTGGTTACCCAGACAGCCGTGGCTCTTTGCCATACGTGGTGCTGGTCTGCCCCGTGGCCATCCTCACACTGCCCAGAGCGCAGGCATCCTGCTTGGAGGCCTCGGGCTGGACGGGGAGTGTGCCTGCTGCCTTTCCTCTAACCTCCAACTGCATCTCTCTGGTCCACATTTCGAAACTCCAGGCATTCTCACTTCAGGTCTCCTTTATCCCTAACATTGGTAACTACAGCCCTTTTAGGAAGTATTATTAGTCTAGCCACAGACGAAATAACTCCCGACCCAACGCTGTTTGCTTAGTTAGTAGAGCCCTGATATCTTGCACATACATTCTTCTTGGTCCTAAGCAAATATTGAGTACATGGTGAGAATTTCATATAAATCCTTGCTGATTTCTTTTGTCTATTTTGTTCCTCACTGAGCTTCTTGCCCCCACCCCCAGTGTCTACGACAGTCCCTGGCACATGATAGGTGCTTACTGGCTAGGTGGAAAAATGCATAAATAGACAGGAACCCTGCACATTTTATGCTAATGAGCAGAATCCTATATTTATTCCAGACCATCTGTTACAGACTTAAGCAGAATGGATATTTAATATAGGAGGTGAGCAAATATGCCTCTTTTAAAATCAAAGCTAAAATGGAATCATTTAATTAAGAAGGTAGTTTCATGCCTTCCAATCCCTTCTGAATGGGAGACCTAAGCCTGGCCATGATTGAGCATGGGGTTTGGAGTCTGATAGATCTATACTTGAATCTTGGCTCTCTGTGTGACTTTGGAATTGTCTGTGTGACGGGCCAAGTTACTTAAATTTTCTAAGCCCCAGTTTGTTTGTTTATTTGTTTGCTTTCATCTGTAAATGAAGGTTGATAATATTTACCTTTTCATTGTTGTGATAAGGAAGTGCTGGAATACTCGAGTATGTAAAGGGATGAACCCAATGCCTGGATCATAGTGATAAGCTCTCTTGATTTCTGCTTCAGAGCTCAGAACAATGGCCATGGCTAGAGATTGCAAGTGAACGCTTTCATCCAGCATTTGAAAGGCCTCCTAACATTTGGAGCTTACAGTCTCTTGTAGTGAGACTCGGTCCGTCCAGTGCCTGCAGCTTTGATTGCCTAGTGACAGTCTCAAGAACTGTTCTCTCAGGTTTTCATAGCTTGTAGCATAGCCTTGTCATCGACAGTGCACGTGGGTCTGCCTGGAAGGAACAAACACTCAGAACTGAACTCCTCCGTTCTGAGAGGCAGGTGTGAAGGGAGGGAAACTCGTGTCCAGTCGTGCTGAGAAGTGTTGCCTCTTTAGGGAGGTGCCTGAAGAATGTAGCAGGGGGCAGACAGGGAGTTAGAGAGTCACCCTCCAGGTAGCCCACATGAGAAAAGGAAGAGGTCTGAGGGCACTTGGCATTGGGCACTCCACGAGTATGTAAAGGTACTGAAGGCAGGTAAACACTACACATTCGGAATGCCTGAGCTGTGTGTTTATTTTGTGTGTTTCAGGAGAGAGGACAGGGAAATGGCATAGCAAGGTGGGAGATGAGATCATCAGCCAGGTCCCAAGCCAGAGACTGGAGAAAAGTAGTCATCTTAATGTCAAAGCCGAGGAACGACAGCATACAATGGCATAAAGTGTTAGGACCAAATGGAGGGGCCTGGCTTCCGGAGGCTAGAACATAAAGCTGGGATCCCAGCGCTATCGTAATTGTCTTAACGCTCAGCTCCAGGGTGTGGGGCTGAAGGAACTCAGGGGTCTTGACTTTAGGGCAGGATTGGTCTTGCACTTACTTGTGTTGAAGTTGAGCGTGCAGGTGGCGTCTCATGAAAAACCACATTCTGGGGATTAGCCTCCCAAGCCCAAACTCCTAAAGAGACCGCTCATTTCTATTCAGCAGAGTGCTCCCCCTATGGTCTTCTCTGGCCTGGCAGACATGAGGGTTAACTCTTCAGGAAGAACATCTGGATCACTCCCTGCCCCTCTTAGTCCCTCCCAACCACTAGCAAACATACGTGGGACCTCCAGAAAGTTTGTGGGAAAGCAGTGTTCTACGATAATGGGCTTTCCCCACAAACTTTGTGACGCTCCCCTCATACAAACCCACTCACACACTCCCTTTTCTACAGTAGTCCTTCCTGGGTCTTCGCCCTATGATGATAATCTCAATCTGACCCAACCTTGAACCCTTATTTTCACTCTCCAGCTCTCTGAAGAAACCTCTCAGGCGCGAGGGAAAGCCTATAACTCGTCTGGAGGCCTTCGTGCTTGTTTCTCAGAGAGGGGTTTGGAGCCCTTACATCTTTGACTGGATCACAAAGAGTATCGTGCTATTCTGCATAGCTCCCCTGGGGGACATCGGGTGGTCTTGCATGCCCACTACCACACTCAGGAAAGCTGGGCACAGAGCCTTCTCATAGAAAGACTGCTAGGCGGGAACTTGGAGAAGCCCCTCCTCTTTCCAGCCTGAACAACTGAGACGTTCTTGATGCTGCCACATGTTAACGTGTCTTTGATATCCTGTAGGCCTCTCTCTCAGGAAGAAATTTCGCAGCGGCATGAGCGCGCGAGACAAAGGCATGCGGAGAAACTGGCCATGGCACAGGGGCAGGCACCCGCGGAGCTCGCCCGCAATGGGAGTGCCCCTGAAACAAGCCCCAAAGAAGAAGAGCCACAAGGTAGAGCTCTCGTCAATAGACTTTGGTGTGAGGTGGTTGACAGTTTGCTTGCTCTGGGAGACTCAACCGTTAGCTCTGTGGAATGTAGCCTTTATGGTAACGCTTAGACTTCTTGGTGTTTCTCTCCTGAAGCTGGCCCAGATAGAATAGATTTGCCCTTCCCTCTATTGCCAAGCAGTTACTGGATTGAAAGGAGCGTTCTGGGCACTCATTACCCTGTGTTTCCAGCAGGTGATGAACAGCAGGCGGAGAAGAGTATGAGCCCTAAAGCTGTGTCCCAGGAAGAAGAAAATGACCCGGAGTCTTTCATTGCCTTTGCTCGAGTGTTCAGTGGGGTTGCTCGAAGAGGAAAGAAGATGTTTGTCCTGGGCCCCAAATACAGCCCTGTTGAGTTTTTGCAGCAGGTAAGAGCTGGGAGCAAAATACTCATGTTATTTCAAAGTTCTGATTTTCTTAATTTTCAGATCCATTGGGATTGATGTTATTCATTTTGTCTCTAGAAAGGCCCACTTGAGTGAGTCCGTATATCTCCTCTTGAGTTGCTTTGGAAACATTTATCAAATGGATCAGATAATAGCATTTAGGAAACCAAGCTTAGTATTCAACTCGTATTTTTCAGGTCTTTTCTTGTTCACAGGTGGTTTTTCCTACAAGGTAAAAATTCCGCGGGAGTGTAGGTTGAGGAAGGAGCTGAGCGGAGATGGTGCCCTGTGGAGCCAGGCAGTGTCAGATCTCCAAGCAAGATGGGCGCGTCCAGTAGCTGGGACTCTAGACAAAGGCGTGCACAGTCAGCAGTTGATAGGCAGCTGTTGCATGGCAGGAAGACCCAGAAATCTAGTCCGATGGGATCTAAAATCCCTGAGCCAAGGGGCAGAAGTAGAGTTTCTGCCCCAGAACGGTTCTGGAAGCCAAGCCAGGTGTAGCCATCGAATCGAATGATGAAGGCCATAGGATGATGAAGATACTAGTGCACCAGGATGTATGTCAGGCACCTGCCAGAGGAGATGGGTGGCACACCACCGGCAGAGAGCAAGTGTTGCTCGCCATATGCGAAGCTGCTTTTAGGACAAGAAGCCAACTGTCTGCAGGCAAATCAGGAACGTGGTCCAAGTGATAGAGAGTTGGGGTGGCAGTTGAAGGAAGTCTCTGCCGTCAGCTTTTTACTGGCTTGAATGCTTAATCCACCTGTTTTAACAGTTTAAGCTTTGCAGGTTGCAATGCTGAGTGGTGCTTAAACAGTCTTTCCTGGCACATGCCATGTTCTGCTTTAACAAGAAGAAGCTCTGTGAACACTGAGAGTAGGGGTAGATTTCGTGGGGGACTGAAGGTGCTATAATGGCATTGTATGAAAACCCATTTATGAGGGTGCTTAAAAAGGTGTGTGGAAAAATAGCATGGAAAGATAATGGATTTTTTTAAATGAACTCTTGAAGGGTCCTCATATAATAATCTTAACATCTTGGCTTGAATTTGAGGCCCAAAGACGAATGTGATAGTTTTGTTATTTATGAAGAAAGGCTATGCGTCTGTTCATTGTAAGCTGTCCATATGAGTAAGAAATTGTTATTTAGTGGAATACTGATTTATTGTACATTACAAATTACATGAATACTCAGATTTATCTTCTATCCTTTCTGCCTAGTGTCTGTTTGCTTTTGTCAAGCTAAAGCTTCAAATCAATTGTTTGTGTCGAATGACTCAAGCAGGAATGATAAAATCCAAATTGGTGGGGAGGTGGGTGTGGGAGACCTGGTAGGGCATGATCAAGGGGAAACGTAACAAAGAGGAAGTGCTGAAATCCTGGTGGGGACTGAGCGTGATAGTGGGACAGGAGGAGAATCAAGGGAAATAGAGGAAAGAGCTGGGAGGCAAAGGGCATTTATGGAGGTCTAGATAAAGACATGTACATATGCAAATATATTTATATGAGGATGGGGAAATAGATCTATGAGCCTACATTTATAGGTTTAGTATTAAGGTAGCAGAAGGACATTGGGCCTCCACTCAAGTACTCCCTCAACGCAAGAATACTTTGTTCTAGTAAATTGGCATTCTATGATGCTCACCTTCCCGACACAACCGCTGAAGACAAAGCGGGAGAATAAGCAAATGTGGTGAAGAAAGTGCCCGGCTATCAAAAGATATAGCGTCTGGGGTCTTAAAAGCTTGAAGGTAAACAAGCGGCCATCTAGCTCAGAAGCAACAAAGCCCACGTGGAACAACATATCAACCTGTGTGATCATGAGGTGTCGAACGGATCACTGAAGACAAATGGGTGCATAAGCAAATGTGGCGAAGAAAGCTGATGGTGCCCGGCTATCAAAAAGTATAGCGTCTGGGGTCTTAAAGGCTTGAAGGTAATCAAGCGGCCATCAAGCTCAGAAGCAACAAAGCCCACATGGAAGAAGCACACCAGCCTATGCAACCACGAGGTGTCGAAGGGATCAGGTCTAAGGCATCATCAGAACAAAAAATTTTACCATAGTGAATGATGGGGGGAGTGTGGAGTGGAGATCCAAAGCCCATTTGTAGGCCACTGGAGATCCCCTTGCAGAGGGGTCTCGGGGAGGAGATGAGCCAATCAGGGTGCGATGTAACAACCATGAGAAATACAACTTTCCTCTAATTCCTAAATGTTTCCTTCCCACTCCCACTACCATGACTCGAATTCGACCTTGCAAGTCTGGCTAGACCAGAGGATGTACACTGGTACAGATAGGAACTGAAAATCCAGAGAATCCAGGACGGATGAGCCCTACAGGACCAGTGGTGTGAGAGGTGAAACAGGGAGGGTAAAGGGAGAATGGGTAGGAAAGAGGGAACCGATTACAAGGAACTGTATGTGACCTCCTCCCTGGAGGACAGACAACCGAAAAGTGGGTGAAGGGAGACGTCGGACAGGGCAAGATAAGACAAAATACCAATTTATAAACTATCAAGGGCTCATGAGGGAGGGGGGAGCGGGAAGGGAGGGGAAAAATGAGGACCTAATGTCGGGGGTTTAAGTGGAGAGAAAATGTTTTGAGAAACGATGTACAAATGCGCTTTACACAATTGATGTGTGTATGGATTGCAATAACAGTTGTATGAGCCCCTAATAAAATGTTAAAAAAATAAATTTTTTTAAAAATTGAAGAAAAAAAAATGAGCCAACAGCACAAATGACTCTATTGTAGTCGTTGAAGCCTTGTAAGACCTCATTCCAAACTACTTTAAACGAGAAAGTAACAAGTATACCTACTCAGAATTGTGTGATCTTTTATATTAGCTGTCAGTTAGCTTGAAACAATAGATGCTTATCATCTCTCAGTGTCTGTGAGTCAGGAGCTCAGGGCATTATTTCGAGTCTCACAAAGCTGCAAAGTGTGGGCCAGGCTGTGTTTGCATCTGGACCCTTGACTGGGGAGGACCTGCAACCAAGTGCATAGAGGCTGTTGATGGACTTCTTTTCTTAGACCTGTAGGATGAAAGCCGTGGCTTCTTATTGGCTGGAGGCTGCCCTCCTTTCCTAGAAGCCCCTTGTAGTTCTTGCCTGGCTTGGCCACTGACTTTGTCAAGCCATCAAGGAGAGTCTCTAGAGCAGTGGTTCTCAACCTTCCTCATGCTGCCACCCTTGAACACAGGTCCTCATGGTGTGGTGACCCCCCCCCCCCCCCAGCATAAAATTATGTTCCTTGCTACTTCATCACTGTTATGGTGCTGCTGTTTGGAATCGGTATGTCACTGTTTACTTTATGAGCTTTTGTGTTATTTAGCTAAAAGGCATCTCATGGGATACTTTTGTTTCAAGATTGAAAGGCTAACTCAGGGCGATAGTCTTGGGGATTCGTTCATTCTCAGCCTGTCTGTGAATCTGAACATTTTAAGAATTTGAGTTTTGTTCCACGTTTTGCTCCCATTTTATCAGAATCCCTGTGAAGTGTTCCTGATCATGACAGTTAAGTACCAGTAGCTGGGCATCGTCTAGTTCTTCTGGTCACAGGGTATGTTAGGTCATGGTGTGTAGACTATTAGTCTCCTGGACTGGTTTCTTCCTTGAGTACTTACATTTGTTTTCTTTCTTTCTATTATTCTGGATATGTAGAGACCAATAGCTCCTTCTAAGTTTTGAAAATTCCGTCTTCAATTTATGATATGTTTGCACTTTCTGTGTGATATCTTTTAACTACAGAAGTTCCTGATTTTAATGTAATTGAATTTATCACTTTTACTTTGTGAGTTTTGCTTTTTATATCTAATTTAAGAATAACAATTCATAACATACTGAGTTGAATACTTAGACGTGAAAATCAAAATATTAAATATTTCAGGAGAAAACTTTACAACTTCAATGATAAATTTGTATGTTATGAAGAACGGATTTAATTTCCCGTATTTCCGTGTACAGATAACCAGTTATTCTAGCACTGTTCTTGATCCTTCATGACTCATTCATTTTCCAGCTACTAGTTTGTTTTACCAACTCTTGTCAAACTCAGGTGGCACGTGTTTGTGTCCACACTAGATTTCTTTTTTCTTTCATCTGAATGCTTCTGTGTTCAATGCTGTCTTAATTTCTGAAAGTTTTTAATTCTGAAAGACTTTCTACCTTCTTTTCTGTCTTATTTCTGACTCTCTGCTCTTGTATATAGTTTACAGGTCCATGAAAAGCCACCTTGATATTTCGATTGAAACTGTGTTAACTTAGCATGAATTTATTGTACTGTATAGTCTTCCTAGATGTGAGTGTGCAAAGTATTTATATTTGTTTACTTAAGTTGTTTTGTTCATAGTTTTATTGTAATTTTGATCAGAAAACTCGTGTTAGATTGATTCTTCATTATCTTATATTTTGTTGCCATTGTAAAAGTTACCATTTAAAAAAATACATATACAAATGTGCCTGACACAATGGATGTACAGTGAACCCTCGTTTATCGCGGTTAATCGGTTCTAGACCCTACCGTGATAAATGAAATTCTGCAAAGTAGGATTCCTTATTTGTAAATCAAATATTTTCGTAGTTAGAGCATAGAGGACATGAAAAAACACCCTTTAGTCACCGTTACACTCGTATTAC